AAACATACCAATATGCTGGACTTTTTCATCAATGACCTCACAGTGGTATGGCCACCGTGTTGGGCTCAGTGGACCAGAAGAAGAGACACCATATAAATCTCGTGGTTCACGAAGACGTGGCACCCATCTCCCTAGCTGATATTCCAATAGTATCTGTGTAGTCCGGGGGAAGAAGGTGTCACCAATAGAGTCAGCTGAAAAGAAAATTCAAACACAATCATGAGTGATAAGAAGGAAAGCCGCAATTCCTATAATTTTTTATATAGTTCCTTTTTTCCTTCTAACACTTGTGGATATCATTATAAATATTTTATAATTCATGGAATTCTTAAAAATAAAAATAACAATGAAATCTTATGACAATTGATCTTCACAACGCTAAATAATAGTTGTTGACTTCATATACTATTAATTTATGCTAAATTCTCACCACTACTCTAAAAACATTTGTTTCTTCTGGCTTTTCTAGCAAATCACCTATTTTTGACTCTTCTTAAAATTAATCGCACTATTTGTCTAATGGGTTAAATATGTTTACTGACTATAGTTCCTCACCACTTACTGGAACTATTATTCTCAAAGGTTGCTAGTGAACTCAGTCACAACTTTTTCTCAGTTCTCATTCTAGGGCCTCTGTGTGACACAAACCAGGAACATGATCCTCACAGAATACAAGGGGGCTGCCCCAAGCAGCAGTGCAGTGGGCCTGTCTCTCTCAGCATGATGACTGTGTGGCGTCAATTCGATGTTGATGATCACCCCTCCTTAAGTGCATTTCCCTTCTTTGGTGATAATACGTTTCCTGGTTTTCTCCCTACCTTTCACATACTTGTTCTCCATTTGTCTCACTGGCTCCTTTTGCTCATCTACCTCTGAAATGTGGCTTTTTACCTAGACTTATTGGCCATTTTAGTACAATAGCAGATACGGCAATGGAACTACAAGTCACATAACTGGGTTCTATTCTACCATTTTATTTCTGTATGATTTTGTTTAAGCAAGACAGCCCCTTTGAACATAAATCTTACTCTATGTAAATAATTAATGATATCACCTTCCCTAGCTACTTCTCAGGATTGTTATATAGATTCATCCATTCTACAGAGAGTTATCACGCATCTACTATATGCCAAGAACAATAAACAGACACTGACCATACACAGGTGGAAAAAAATAGACAATGTCCCTGCCATCATGAGCTTACACTGTAGTAGGACATACAATAAACAGGGAAACAAGATAATTTCAATGATGATAAATGTTACAAAAGAATTAAAACAGAGAGATAATAAATGAAAGTGAGAAACGGGAATGGGTAGGAATGATACTTTAGATAGTGTGGTCAGGTAAGACTTCTCTAAAGAGGTAACATCTTAGCTGAGATCTGAATAATGAACTCAGTGCTGGAGCAAATACTGCTCTGAACATGCCCTAAAAAAGCTGAAAAGGAAGTCTGGAAGTAAAGAAACTTCTCCATAAGCAATATAACTGCTTATCAGTACAAAGTCCAATATTCTTTAATAGAATACAATGAAATCTACCAATCAACATGTAAAATTCACAAGTCTGTCATTCATGCATAGGTTAACAGGCAAGAGTCACAGTCCCACTATGGCAGCATAAGTCTTACATAGGCCTTCTCTCCCACTGATTACAAGTATAGATACAACACAAAAACATAACTATCAGAAGGGTCTGAAAGTAAACTAGAACAAGCAGATTGTGCAGTCAAAATGTAGAGAAGCACTCTCTGCAAGGAGGTGAGTCCACCTCCTCTTGTTTTCTTTTCCTGCTTTGCCCTGACGGCGGCAGGTCCCATTCACAGACCACTGCAGTGGTGCAAATGGCTGAGTCTCAGATAAAAATCCAGTCTTTCTTAACAGAGGGCCAGCAACAGGGGTCCTCATAATGTGGAGGGAATCTGAAGGGAAGAAAGAGACCAGAGAAAGCCATCTTGTAATTCTGTGTGTGAACCCACCCAAGTCTCACCCTAAAACCTAAGCTACGCAAGCACACACTCTCAGACTATGAAAACTGAACTAAAACTTTAACCACACATACAAGTATCTCAGCTTAACCCTTGAATTATACATGTGCCAGACCGTCCCGAACCAACACCGGAAACGCTTGAGAGAACTAATAGAGATTTGAACCAAATATGTCTCAGAACCTCTGAACTACACAAGCATGGGAGAGCACGAAATCAGTATAGCAAAGGCTTAGAGATTTGAACTGAGATTTGAAATACTACCCACAGAATGGGAGACAGAACTTTTTGTCTGGAACTAACTGGGTGGATTGTCTGCTAGAAGAAAAACATTGACATTGTCCAGAAGGACCCAATCTCAACATCGAGATGAACTAGATATTGAAACTATCACACAAGTACTTTAGAGAAGTGATTACAATTATGCTCCATGAGATAAGGGGAAAAACACAGTTGCAATTTATGAAAATATAGTAAATCTTGGCCAAGAAATAGATACATTGCTGGTGGGAATGCAAAATGGTATAGTCACTTTAGAAAACGGATTGGCAATTTCTTACAAAGTATACATTTAGCAACAATCCAACCCAACAATATCATTCTTAGGGATTTACTCAAGAGAAATGAAAACATGTTACAAAAGGTCTTACACACAAATGTTCATAGGAGCTTTACTTGTAATGTCACCAAACTGGAAACAATCTAAACGTGCATCAATAGATGAATGTGGTCTCTTCACAGAATGGATTATTACTCAGCAAAAAAAAAAAAAAAGGAATGAACTACTGATATATGCAACACCATGGATAAATCTCAAAAGCATTATGCTAAGTGAAAGAAGACACAAACCATAAAATGTATGATTCTGCTTTATGAAATTCTAGAAGGGCCAAATATAGGGCAGAGAAAGCAAGTCAGTGATTGCCTGGAGCCAGGGGTGAAGGATGGAAGGAGAGGTGCAGGGAATATTTGGGGGTGATGTAAATGTTCTCCAGTTTTATTTTGGTGATGTTCTAAACAATGGAAGCAACATAAACAATGTTAAAGGATAACTATGGGCAGTTCATACCACGAGGGAATATGAATAGATACACGCCTATGAAATGATTTTCAATTTTTGCTAGTTAAAACACTGGGTTACCTCCTGTCTTGTAATAGATGGGCAAAATTTTATTAATAAAAAGAAAAAAAGGGCAGTGGGCAGAAGTCCACAAAACAGTACTATAGAATTTCTATGAGTTTAGGTATAGATGTGTGTATAAAGGCAAAGAAAAAGGTCTAGAGAGATACACAGTAAACTGAGAAAAGTGGTCATTTCAAAAGTGAAGATTTGTTTTAGGATGGTGGTAAAAAAGACAATCAATCAAGCAATAAAAAGATAAATGCCTTAACTTCAATTTCAGAATATCTGTAGTATATCCATGTAACAAAAACATTTGTACCCTCTTAATATTTTGAAATTAAAAAAATCTGTAGTAGATATGTAAATATTTGGTAGAAATATTTAAGTATTTGAAAGTATAATTCTTAATGTATAAATGTTTAAAAATCAAGTTTATATCAAGATGACCATATACATGTACACTTGCAAATGAATGACTTTATTAAGGAAACTCTTTATACAAGCAAACTTCATTTAAATAAGGATGTACTTCCAACACATGATTATAAATGCATTTAAAGAGCAAGTTATTTAGAGAAATAACAAAGTAAATATTTATGTTAAATAAAGTCCTTTATAAACCAATCATCACTTTCATTTAGTTTCATTTATTATTTTGAAATATAAATCAGGTTCACCTGAAACGAACCTGAAAAGTCTGAACTCCAAAAGTGGCTACATTTCTCTCTCCCTATCCATCAGAATAATCATTCCCTATATTACTCAATCTGGCTTTTCATTAGTTTCCCCATCTTGTTTTTTTATCCACTCAAGGTCTTATGATAAAGGGAAGGAAAAATATATAGATAAGTTCAAACCTGTTAAAAGTGCACACTGATGAATATCTTCACTTACAAATTTCATGAATGTATCCTCATCCTAAAACAAGAGAATTTTAAAATATTTGTTTAAAAAACAAGTTTCCAAATCCAGAAATTTTTTAGTGCTTGGGATTGAGTATATGTCTTTAATCTTTAATAAATGAAAAGATTAATGGATTATTATAGGCTATTGGTCTCAAAGCTCTGGACACTTCAAGTTGAAGTGTTGAAGTGTTCACTTGAAGTTTGAATCTTTCAATCCTCCTCTCCTGCTGGATATGGTCATAATAATGACCGCATGGAAGGCATAAAGTTTAAAGATTCTTGGGACAACAATAACAATTTAAATCAAGAATAAAATTAACAACAACAAAAAAGAAAGCCATAGATTTAAAGGGTTACATACATCATTTTAGAGAGCTTATTTTGGGACCTTAATTTACATACCTAATAATTTATACATCAATATAATTTAATGGAAATCCCTCAGAAATATGTACTAGAACCAGATAAAATATTTTTAAACACTACAGTTCTCTCTTTTTTTCTTCTTCCATGTCCCTTTTTTGTGACTTCAGAGCCACACTAAAACTATTATGGTGATACACAATAAGGTTGGAACATAGGTGGTTTTAGTACTATACATATTGTTATGTAACGCAATATAATTAGTACATGTAAGAAACTAAGTGGACATGAATTATGAAAATAAAACTCTAACAATGATTTCATACACACATTTTAATAAAACCCAGAAGAATCTTAGCCAAAATATTTTCTTAAGAAAACAATATAAATATAGTTCCTCTTTCTACATAGGGCATACTGCATGTAGTAATAGCTTAGCTTTTTCACTCAAATTATTTCCCAACTTGAATGACAATGATTTAAACATACAATTGATTTTTATATCCAATTGATTTAATAATATTTTAATTAGGGATTTATAACACAAATTTTATCTCAAGTAAAATAAAGTTGAGAAGAACATACTGATTCATCTTCTTCACTGATTGTTCTGTCTGAATAATCTTCCTTTTCTGAATCTTCTGACATCTCTTCCAGTGTTTGGCTTGCAATTTCTTTTGTTATATGGATAGGCTGTAAAACAATTTCTAAGGAACTTATTTGACAGCTTCTTTTTAAGCTGAAGGTGTTTATTGCATTAAATGAGTACTCAAAAATATATTCAATGGTATTTAACAGTGACAACAGTTCTCCTTAAAAACTAAATTAATTAGAATGCAGCTAATTAAACTTTCAATTTCAAAGACCTGAAGAAATTTTTCATTACTATAAGAAACAAAAATCACAACAAAACCAATAATTTAATTGAAAAAGGAATTTTCAGAGCACACAGTCAAATAATTTACATTCTACATTTACAATTAAATATTACATAGTGATGTAAATTTAGAATGATCCTGAGGCATTATATATAATGAATCAAAGAAAAAAACTTACTGTCAGTGAAATGTAGCGATATAGTTTAAAAGGTTTTGTCTTTAACTTTCAATTGACCAAAAGTTCAAAGGACTACAATAGACTTTTCTCTTTGTATTTTGATTAACATTATTCTTTAGATATTGTCTCTAATATGCAATTATATTTTTCTTACTGAAATGGCAATAGCTACCAGAAAGTTGTCTTGGCAATGACCATTACTCCTTCTATGCAAGTACCTTCCCACGTGGTTATTAGACAACGGAATAATCGAAATTCCTTGTCAAGATCCTGGTTTTTGAGAGACCAAAGGAATTTACCAATTTCAAACCTATTGGTTTATGCTCTTCTCTTCAAAAAGCGTGTTTTGGAGTGTGAACTGCATAGACGTGCAAGCTCCATAGCAAATAACTACGAATGCAACAGAGCAAACTGTCTTACAGGCGACACTTTCAGTATTGAGACTGACGTTTCGGTCTGGAGATCACAACTCCGAATCTGGAAAAGCGGATTGGCATAAATCTTGATTCTCTTTCCTTACATGCGCACGTGAGGCACACTGCCGTGCTGACCTGCTGTGGAATGCAACTTTAGCTTCAGGAAAGCCACACGCACAGATACTTAATGGGCGCTCCGTGGGTGTCTTCCGCGACTAAAGAAGGGACAAAAGCAGGCGCGCCTCGAGAGGTCTGCGGTCAGGCCTGATTAAGCCACAATTCGGGTTGGCAAGGCCTTCCTCCCACACTCACTTCTGGACAGGGCAGTGTGAGGAGGAGCTCATTCTCCCAGACGCGTTCGCTTCCCTCGGGGGGCGCCCCGCCTCCCCTCGCCCCTTCCTTTTCGGCACTTCCACCGTCCCGCGTGGGCCGGGCCCTCACTCCCACCCCGAGTCCTCTGGCCAGGCCAGTCGTTCCTTCCGTCCGGGGACACTATCTCGGAAGTCTCTCCGAGGTACCCGGGGTTCCAGCCGCTAGAAAGAAAGCCACTGAAGTTTAGTTATGGTTCCAAGCAGGCCCTTCTCCACTCGTTACCAGGGCAACGGGCCCACCATCGCGAGACTTTGGGCAGTCCTCGGGAATCACCTTGCGACCAGCGCGGAGGAAATGAGCCTGCGCGGGGTTTTGACCAGAGGAAGGGGACCCCGGAGGATGACGGGAGTTGGGGGCAGCGTCGCAGAACTAGCAGAGAGAATCCCGGGGAGATAAGCAAACTGGGGTCTGGCGGGAGAATTTAGGAGTGCATTCTGGACCCCGATTTATTCCTAGTGTTCTGCATGTGGGTTTGCCAGGACCCTTCTTGGAGGAGGCAGTAAAGCATGCTGGTTAAGACTTATGCTTTGGAGCCCACGTGACCTTTAACAATGCGACTTTGGACAAATTAATTTTCTGGATTTCGGTTTCTTCATCCATAAAATGGATACAATAATTGCAACTACTACTTGCAGTTGTTAGAGTAAAAGTATGTTGGTCTTTATTTATACACATACTGAATTCCACTCTGTGTAATTGTGTGACTAATGATATTTCTGGAAAATGAGACTTTTCTCTTTAAATGCTGGATGGAGGAGTCATAGCTACACTAGGATAAACTCTCAAAATTATCAGCTCAGAGATTCTTTAAATATAATAATTGTGACCTAACATACTGAACACTTACTTTCCCTGTCATTGCAAATCACTTTTTATGTGTTGTGTATGATCTTCCCATAACAGACTTAGACATTATTTGTGTAATCTCATCTTGATTGTTCCTTCATCTTTAGCTTTGGTGAGTAATTTGGAACAGTTTTCCAAATATAGCTGGAAAAAAAGTCTAGATGTTTGGTGCCTGCATAAAGCATTATTATATACCATGAGGTTTGTGACCTTGTAGAAATGGAGATAATGTTAGCGAGTTTGAAAGTGGAATAAAGGGTAAAGCAATATGGTTTATGCATGGAAATGGGTTAATATCTCTTTAGATTTTGTAAGTTTCTGAAAATAACGTTTCTCAGGTCAGCAATTTAGCAGTTTGGACCTTCCCAGTTAGACCTTGGCCTGAGGAAATAGAGTGTATCTGAGCTCTTGAAAAATAGTTAGCCCTTATAAGTTGTACCTTGTTTTATGTCATACATGCATCACTAAAGGTGAAATGCAGAGAGAATCTTTATATTAATATATGGATTCTATTTTTCTGTTGGATTTTAGTCATGGTTGCAACATATAGGATGTCAGATGCACAAGGTGAAGCTCCGAGAAATTATCTAACCAGGTTATACAAGAAGTTAGTGGCAGAGCTGGGACTTAAGTCTCATGATTTTTAGTCCAAATATTTATATTATATGTCAAGTAATCCTTGCAAAGAAAAATTATTTAATATTTTAGTGCATAATAAAAATACTTAGGAATTCAACAAAACTTTGAAAATCATATTCGTTTGTTATTTCATTAATTCAACAAATCTTTACTGGATGTCTACTACATGTGAGGGACTGTTCCCAGTGTAAGGTTATTGCAGGGAACAAAACAAACATTCCTTATGGAGGTTAATGTTCCAGTGGAAGAAAACAAATAAGCCAATAATAATAATAAAAACCACTCAGGTGATAACTGTTATGGAGAGAAATTAAGCAGGGAAAAATGAAGAGAATGAGGAGTGCTGGGGGTGGGTGGGCCTTGGTAGGGTTGCTCTTTTAGATGGTGTGGCCAAGGAAGGCTGCTCTGACCAGGAGACATTTTGAACAGAGGAATGAACCACATGATGTCTAGGGGATGACCCTGCCAGGAAGTGGAAGCAGCAAGTATAAAGGTTCTGAGAAGAGGAAATACAATTGACGCTTGAACAACGGGGAGATGAGGGCCACTGACCCTCACACAGTTGGAAATCCACATATAACTTTTAACTTCTCCAAAACTTAACTACTAATTGTCTGCTGTTGATGGGAAGCCTTACCAATAACATAAACAGTTGATTAGCACATATTTTGTATGTTATATGTGCTATGTACTATACTCTTACAATAAAGTAAGCTAGAGAAAAGAAAACTTTATTAAGAAAATCATAAGGAAGAGAAAATATATTTACTATTCATTAAGTGAAAGTGGGTCATGATAAAATTTTTTATCCTCTTCTTCACATTGAAATAGGCTTAGGAGGAGGAGGAGGAAGAGGAGAGATTGGTCTTGCTGTCTCAGGGGTGGCAGAGGTGCAAGAAAATGTGTGTAAGTCGACCCACACAGTTCAAGGCCATGTTGTTCAAGGGTCAGCTGTATACTAGGCAATACTGTTTAGCCAAAGCTTAGCTGGAGTCAGTATTATTTTAAGGAAAGATTTCGTAAGGACTTCTTTCTTCCCCAAGCAAATTTAAAATGGTTTTCTTAAGCACTTCTTTTTTAATTCTTTCTTTTCCTCCCTCCCTTTCTTTTCTCTCTCTCTTTCTTTTCTTCTTTCCTTCTCTTTCTTCTCTTTCTTTTCTTTTCCCTCCTTCCTTCCTTCCCTTTCTTTCTTTCTTTCTTTCTCTTCTTTCCTTCCTTCCTTTCCCTTCCTTTTCCTTCTTCCTTCCTTCATTTGTTTCTTTTCTTCCTTCCTTCTCTTTCTTTCTTTTTCTTTTCCCTCCTTCCTTTCTTTCTCCCCTTCCTTCCTCCCTTTTGTTTTCTACCTTCCTTCCTTCCTTTCTTTTTTCTTTCTTTCTTTTTCTTTCTCTCTTTCTCTCCTTCCTTTCCCTTCCTTTCCTTCTTTCCTCCTTTCTTTCCTTTCTTTCTTTCACTTAGTCTCCTATTCCAGATAGGAGTATGTACTGGAAATGAAAGTTTTTGTCTTTAAGTGAAAGTGGAAGTAAGGCCTAGGGTAAACTTTCACCAAGGACTAGAAAAGTTGGAATTTTTGTTCGCCTTTCCTATGATCTCACCAGAGAAAGTGACTGGACAGTCTCCTTCTGTAGCTGGCTTCTCCCTTTTGGGAAGGCAGCTTTATCCCTGCAGCGACTTTTCCTCCTCTACTTGTATTGTGAGTGTGCTCCGTGACTGCAGTCCAAAAGGCAATATCATAAAGGTAGAATAAGAAAAGAGGAAAAGACAACCAAAACTACAACCCAAAAAGCACAGTTACTGTTGTGGGAATCAGGAGGAAAGGTCATTTTAGCAATGTGGCCAAATGTAAGTTGTATTAGGAATATAATTTATTTTGTGTAATTACATCATTTTGAGTTTATTGAGCAGGGGCTTAAATGAGACTAGGAAGTGACCAAGACAGTCATTTATGATATCATAGAAGTTAGTGGTCACATAGCCTTGGAGGTCTTGTTACAATTTGGCTAAGGAAGCCATGGTACGACCTGGGAGCCCTGAGATAGTCCAGTACTTGTCTTGGCCTTCCTTGGACTATCTGGGTCTAGGATGACCTACTCTAGGGCCAAACCTCTTAAACTATTTCCAAGCTCCAGTCTTGAGATCTGTCCCAGCCAGTCAACCAACCAAGACTCAGCTCCTCCCATGATGACATCTTTCCTAATTATGCTATCATAGGTAGAATTAATTGTCTATATTTAGGGACTACATTGAAGCAATCATTCCTCTTAGCACTTGGAAATGAGGGGGCAAGAATGCCCCCTGCCTGCTTAACAAATAACAGATGGATAAATCACCCCCAAAGAGAGCAAATTCCCAGGCTCAGTGTGAAGTGTCTTGACAACGTGAAATTGTCTTTTTTTAAATTTCCCCAATGGCTGTCCCTGATCTGTGCAATGGTGAAATCCTCCTTCCCACTGAGGACATGTCGGCCAGATACCGTAACTTTTCAGCTGCTTCCAGCTACTAAAACAGTGTCATTTTTGTATTTAAGATTTCCTTCTGGTGTTAGAGTTGACGTTAAGAAGTTCACTTTAAACTTTAATTTCAAACTCCATTTGAAGCCCTCTTTCTTCCCACTGCCCAGGGCAGCCTAGCTGTGTCCCTAGCTCTGGTGGCTTGGGAGATGGGAGGGAGGTTGGTGTTTTGCCATTTACATTCATTCCCTGTTCCCTCTAATTTCTAGTTTTTTACTGTGTTAGGATGAGCAGGGCTGGGGAGTGAAAAGGGGAAAGGTCTCCTTAAGTGGGCCAAGTTACAGTCTATATGGCTGGTCTCCAGTGTTCTTCTTGTTCTGTCTGTGGACTTCATGGGGAGAGCAGTGGCTTCCATCTGCCCCCTGACAAGGGGCTTTCTTTAAGGTACACTCGCAGGCAATAATCTCTTGTGACAGATGGCAGGTAATAGTGGTTAGAAGTGTGGGCTCAGGAGCCAACTGCCTGGGTCAGATATTCTGCCACTTAACAGCTGTATGATGATAGGCAGGTTTTGAAACTTGTCTGTGCTTCAATGTATTTGCCTGTAACGTGGGGATAATACAGTAGTACCTATCTTGTAGGGTTGCTGTGAAGATTAAATGAGTGAATGACATGGAAAGTGCTTAGAACAGTGCCTGGAACATGGTAAAGGCCCAATGCATGTTAACTGCTGTTATCATTTGACCAGTTGATCTCCGATTGGTGACGTTGATACCATATCCCTCTGATACTTGGGCACCTACTCACCTTGCTGTGGTGATCCCCGTGTGACTATAGACTCCGCAGTGTCACCTTCACATCCAGATCTAGGACTGGTGGGCATGTGCCAGATCTGTCTTCTCAACACTGGCAGAGCACTCTCCTGTCTGGCTGGCTTTGTTCGCTCCCCTTTCCTGTGTGCTCAGGAAGCATAGAGACAAACCAGCCAACTCCTGGCTAGGCAGACGCCCGATAGGAAGCAAAACGCCAGCCGCCCCTTCAGGGGCAACACCTCTTGTCCTTATGAGTGACTCTCTTGGAAGCCCCCTCTCTCAGAAGCATCCCCTTGGTCCACAGGAAAGTATCATGCTGCTCATGGGAACCCAGGATTCTAATGAGGGCAATTTCTCACTGCAGACGAATGCACTGGCATTCTGACTTTACACAGCTAGATTGGTCTTCTGAACTTGTTCATTTACTGGCACAGCCATGAAAGAAAACGAGATCCCTTCACTGGATGCTGACCAAATGAAGCTTTTCAGGCATTGAAGCTTAATGACTTAAGACCTTGAACTGAGGCAAGTTAATGCTCCCTGGTCAGGCTTCTTAGGGGCTGGCCACCTGCCCCTGAGAAGGACCCCTCTTATATTTCTTCAGACAACTCTCCTTGTTATGTCACTTTACCTACCTCTGCCATAGCATCAGTTAGCACTTTATTGCTCTTAATCTATTCATTTCTGTCTCCTGCTGTTTAACTTCAAAACCCCTTCAGGGCAGGAACTTGGTCTTATTTATCTTTGCACTTCTAGTGCCTAACTTGGACCAACATTTGTAGGCCTTTAGTAAATATGTATAAGGAATGATCAATTTTTTAAAAAAATGCTGAGTGTTGAGTATGTAAAAGGGACAGTGCTAAGAACCAAGGGTACAAGGAGGTGTAAGATCTGGCTGTTGCCAGTGAGGAAAGCACCCTCTGGTTGAGCAGGCAGGACCCATTTCGAGTTGGCTACTCTTCTGCTGTGCATGTGTAATCTTTGATGTAAATCTCTGTTTAGGACTCAACAAACAATAAGGTCAACATCTAGCCTTCTCTCATAGCTTCTGGGCCTTTGGAGGGAAAGGCCTGAACTTCCCCTTTGCATTCTGATTGCCCAGTTCAGTGCCTGATGTTCACAGTGATGTAGCAGGTGCTCACTACACGTGTGCTGAATGACCGAACGGAACTGATGGTTCCAACAAGTGGGTGTGCTGGGGTCTTCTTAGGTGAGGTGGGACTCAAACTGAGTTTCAATGAATTTAGGAAGGGAAAGAAATAGGGATGCTTAGATAAGGAAAAACATGAGCACAGATCAGAATGTACATTGTATCTTCTGGAGCAATTTGGGTGAAAATACCCAGCAAGTATAGTTGGAAATACAGGACTGGTGGTCAAGAGAGATGTCAGTTTCCAAGAGGTATTTTTTTAAAAAATGGAAACTTAATAGCTGTATAACTGTGAGCAAATGTTAAAATTCTCTGTGCTTCTATGTATTTACCTGTAACGTGGGGATAATACAGTGGTACCTATCTTGTAGGGTTGTTGTGAAGATTAAATGAATGAATAACAAGTAAAGTTGTGAGCACTTAGGTGTCACTCATAAAACATGAGGGGGCAGGTGGGAGTCACCATTCTCCTCCTGGTATAGGGTAGTGGTTTTCTAAGTGTGGACAGTGGGACCAGCAGCATTAGCATCATGTGAGAAATGCACATTCTCAGGCTTTACCCCAAACCTCCAGAATCAGAAATGGGGTGGGGCCGTCTGTCTTTTAACAAGCCCTCCAGGTGATTGTTACACCATAAATTTTGAGAACCACTGGCACAAGGGATTAAGAGTGTGGACTCCGGAGCTAGAATACTTAGCATGCACGTGGCTAGGATGCTATTGAAATGCAAAAATATCAGTAATTACATTAAATATGAAAAGACTCCAGTTAAGACTCAAAGATAATCAGACTGGATTAAAACCCAAATCTAAACTATATATTTTTTTAAAAGACACACATCTAAACTAAAGGATATACAAAAGTTGAATGTTATGGGATAGAAAAAGTTATATGATGCAAGTCCTAACCAAAAAACAAGTCACTGTAGCAATATTAAGAATAGAAAAAAAATAAACTTTAAGGGAAAAATCTTTGCTGCAAATAGAGGTCCACTTCATAACGATAAAATATTCAATTTACTAGGAAGATATAATGATTCTAGATCTTTATGCACCTAAAACATCACCTTAAAATGTGGAAAGTCAAATTAACAGAATTAGAAGAAGAAATAGACAAATCCGTAATAACAGCGGGAGATGTTTCACATTCCTTTCTCAGTAATAGAACAAAGGAAAAAATCAGTAGGATATAGAGTGTTTGGACATTATTCATAAACTTGACACAAATAGACACTGCACTCAAATCAAGACTTTGTTAGTCATCTAAGTCCTATGGAAGAACACACCCTTAAGATCGTGAGATCTTTTTTCTTATCCATTATTCTACTTAGAGCATACATGCAAACAAGGGTAGGAAAAGACCTACAATACAGACCTGTTTCCACATCATATGAGAGACCATTATGTTTTCAAGCACATATCCTGAATATGCATATTGTAAAATCAATTTTCATTCACCCCTAATCTTATCAGTTTGGGACTAGTACTACAGATTAATCTGTTCGTTGCTTAATTTAGATGACAGCTACCTTATTGTCTAGACTTATCATCCTCTTGTTAAGATTCAGAGGTAAAAATACTAATTATTTTAGTAACTTAGTTAATTGTCAATCTTATGAGAAGGATTGAGGGGACTGTTCAGGAGCTCTGGACCCATAACTTAAAATCTTTATGAGAATCTCAGATTTCAGACCAATTAGTGCTACATAAATATGCAAAATTACTATGAAAAAATATCTTTGGATTCAAATGTAATCATCAGTGCTTTTCTAGTAAGTATTCTACAAATGAATGGTATATATTAAATGGGTGTTTTCAGTATGAGAGGCAGTACCTTCAGGAAAACACTACTGTCCATCTTAGGAGTGACAGCTGATGTGTGACAACACTGGCAATGAGAGGGAGGATGAAGGGACATTTGATAGTTGTTTTGAAGAAGAATTTTTTAAATCCCTCTTTTCAACCTTTTCTATACATGTTTGGTCAGTTGTCCACATCAGAGCAATTTTCAATATTTTTTTAGAAAATTACCTGTGATAAGAAGCAATTAAAAATATAAAAAATGCTTTTCTTCTTTAAAAAGACTGAATCTGAAATATAGGTTTGCTATGCCATCATCTTTATTACAATACACATACCTCTCACCATCAATATAGTACATAAAAATAAGTGAAGCAAAGACATTTGGAGGAATTCCATTTATTGTGGATGCGTTTTCATGATATATTTTTATTGCAGCGATCAATTGTCAGTGAAATGTATCAAGTGTTTATAGAATTTTTAGGAACGGCAGATTCACAAAACATGCGAGTTAGCTTGCAGTTTTCCCTCTTAAAGGTAACAGACAACTGTAATTGAACAAGTAAACAAGGAATTTAATTTTCAAAAGATTAAATCCAAACTGAACAAAATTCTACCCTAAAACTTATTCCATCCAAATATTGGAATAAAAGTCAGGATTGATACATTCTCTTCTCAACTTTAGACTTTCTAGAAAAATATACAATAGCGATGAGGAGAAGCTCTTGTTCAAAAGTACAACAATGCACTGTAATCTCAAACTTTGCTCCATTTCATGCCAGTGATGGGAGTCAATGCTAAATAGGACACTACTATTGTAAATTCTAGTTTATCTTATCGTAGACTCGTGCATGTCTACTCTGTCATGAGTAGATGACTTTTGCAGTCTTGGTGGCTTTCCTTTCTTTGGCCCAGGTTTGCTAAAAGCTAGGGGATCTGGCTACCCTTTACTGACTTATGAAGAAAATAGACTTTGTAAGGCAATGGTCACTCCTCACGCCAGCCCTGCGTTGGCTAGCTCTTCCAGGGAAGTATTGTAGATAAGAAAACAGTTATTCGGGAGACTTCCTCAGTGTGATAGGAATTGAAACTAAAACAATTTTATGAAGCCAACTGAGGTATGAGTTTATGTAACTACACTCTATGTTTGCGTCTATACTAGAACATTTTGCCAAGACACTGGAGTACTCTTTTATCATCTATTGTGAATAATAAAGACTTATAGGCTACAATAAGATCTGGACTGTGTGTGTAAAAATGGTGAGTCAGTAAAGACTTGGGAACAGTAAAACGAGTAAAAGTTACATATATTTTTGAGATTTCAACACATTATCAACTTATGACAAGTACTAATGACTCAATCAGGTAGTAAAGGCTAATTTAAAAAAATGTTTTAGAGTATATAAAGATGAAAGTACTATCATGGCTCCTAAATACTGGATTTGGTTCACTTTACTTCTCTGCTTCCAGACATTTGCCAAAGTCAGTCTTTGTTTAGACCCATAAATGGAATTTCAATTTGTACAATACTGTCACTAAAAATCTTGTCTTTAAAGTTTAGAGATAGAAGAGAACTTAGATATCATTTAGGCCAACCTATTGTGAATTTTATTATTACAAATAAGCAGGCTTTCAGCTTGATGGTAGAGTTAAAACAAAATTCACGTTGGACTTCAAGATTGCCTTTAACTATAAACTAAATACTATGTCTTATAGAAAATTTCAACTCATTTTGACACTTCTTAACTCTCTTTTTTTCAATACTTTTTTCTTACAGGTCATCAGGCATTGAATACATATCAATACCTATCTGCCATGTTTCTACTGGCAAATATGAAATATTAATATAATATTGTGATTTTTAATTTTTAAAAAGCTGTGATATTGTCTAGTTACAAGGACATACTACTAAATATAATAGTCTAGCACATAAAAAAGCATTCTACCATTAGTGTGTTTGTATACGTGTATGCACATACATACATAATCAGATTATCTAAAATGTGGTTCAGGCTACAATCACTACCAAAGAAATCCACAAAGCAACCAACCTAAAAAAAAATCAGTACCACTGTCAGCTAACATAATAATCTAATTTAGCATGAAAAAAAGTAATACCTTAACAGTACATCTTCTTCTTTTTTTTTAAAAAAACAATCATTATTGCAGTATATCAAATCTGAAATGGGTTACTTTCAGAAAGTGTTACAATTGCCTACTAAGATAATTTCTTCCATGCTTTATTATAAAGTGCAGAAACAATATGACTTCTGTATTTAAAAAAAACAAAAACTACCGTTCATTTTTCTAGATACTGCACACATTCCGCACGCAGGCAATTTTAAACTCGAATCTCTTCTTACTGACTTCCGATGTGGTTGGTATCACTGTTCAGACATAGAGTTATGATGATCAGTAGAAAAGTCTCTATTTCACAGCATGGGTTTCTTTAGAAACAGGCTCCTGTGCAAAGGCAGTACTTTTACCATGAACATCTCTAGACTGTGATTATTAAATATAGTGATAATATACATGGGTTTACTGGGATATTGAAAAATAAAACAAAACAAAATGAACCCACTTTAGTAAATTGACATAAATATAAAACAGAGCAAATTAGCCCTCTACAACTGAGCTGGTCCAGCGTCTTGAGCTTGGGTTCTTTCTGCAACCATCTCAGACCTGCTAAGAGAAGAGAACTTTAAATCTGCAGCCTACAGTATTTCAGCCAGGTGGTTTTGTCAGAAGAAAAGAAAAAAAAGGGAATAATAGTATGGCAGGAATTTATGACACAGAGGATTACTGTTGGCATTCTATTCAAATGTGATCTTTTATTCTACTCTTTCTTCCTTTGGTTTTTTCACTTCCCTTTTCCTTCCTCTCCTTTATGTTCCATTTTCCTATTTTGTCCTTTGGCCTTACTCATGGCATTCAGAGTCAACTAAGGTATTCTTTTTTTTTTTTAAACTCCACTGTAAGGGCCAGGAATCTGTCATATATATTCCAGGATAGGCATACATGACTGAGTAGCTCAGTTAGGGACACATCGACATATAACAGTGAAGTAGGATATGTTTATCTTTAGTTTTTTTTTCCCATTTTTTACTTAGCAATCTGTTTTCTCCCTCTTATTCTTACACCCCTGCCCGTGAGACTTATCTGACCCATCGTCCTACTCTTAAACCATTTCCCCCTTCACTTCAGCTAGCTCCTAAAAGTCCTTGCTGAGGCATTAACAAATATTAAAGTGTCCTGAACTTGATTTTCAAAATGTCTTGTATATTTTCATTTCAAAGGAATGACTGAATGACAAGTAGTGACTTTGCCATTTCGGAACAAAGGAGCTACCTAATCTGCTACCTCATAAACTCAGCTCTGTGTCTAGTGTGTATATTATTATTACTACTGTAGAAAGAGGTTAATGGTGTAGACTAGGGAGGAGGGGGTGGTGTGTGTGAAAACTCACTCTGTCACCCTCCTACCATGCACCTACCACATTGTTGCACAATTCCAGAGAGTACCACTCACATCGTATGGTATGTGAATGGTATTCTCTGAGTCCTACCATTCCAGATTGTCTTTGCTCTACTTTCTAGAGCTCTGGCTAAGAGAAATATTTTCCAGGAGGAAAATAGCCCCAGAAGGGCTATTTATGTTGTATGACTGACAGACCTATAATGCCACAGGCTCCATGAACTTTTCCCTTCACTGTGCTGTATACAGGTCTTTCAGAAATTGATGGGCATGGTGGCAATGATCTGTGGGTCAGTGATAATTCTCATCTGACCCTGGGATATTATACTGCAGGATCCACCAGGAAAATAAATCTCTGAAAATAAATATCCCACTAGATTACCTTAGTGGGGGAAGTGACCTTATCCACAGACTGCTTTTCCCAGAGGTTCCGCTTGCTGGATACATCTCCTGGCCTCAAGTCCTAATAAAGAGAAAGCAGAAAAAATAGATATGGGGCTGTTTATATTTTCTGGACAGGTCTAAATAAAGTGCCACATTTGTTGCTTGTCTGTTTGACTGAATCAATTTGTTGTTGAATACACTTTACCCCAGTGATCCGAAATGGATGGAATTGAAAGGATCATCAGCTGTTGTTCGATTTTAGACAGACCTTGACCTTTCTGACAATAAGGGAATGGGCTGGAACTACAGTATTTGTGTCCTTGTCCTTCAACAAGGATTTACTGTTTATTGATCAGTAACATTGGAATATAAGCATATTTACCATAATGTAGCCTATTTTTAGCTTTCTATGCTCTTGGAAGTGAATAAAGCATAGGTTATTTAAAAATAATTCATATAGGGTTTGATAAGCATTTCCCCACTTGCAGATTAACTTTCTTTTGGTACCCTACCCAGGGAGGCAGGCTGGAAGTCCCAAGAGTTAACATTCCCAGGAGTAGTCCTCAAATTGCTGAGTGGTGAGTGTCGGGGCAAGAATGTTTCTCTGGCTCACTCATGCCTCAGGTAGGATAACTCCGAAGGACGTGTTCTACAGTGGCTTCCAGGGTTTACCCAGTGGGATTAAATTTTAACATTAACCGCTCATGTAGTGATATGCTTAAGAACATTCTTCATTGGCTGCCTTCTCCCCATCTCACTCCCTGTAGTGTTTTCTTCACCTCCCAAGTAAATTACTTGCACTGGACTCACTGTGTCAGGGTCTGCTTCTGGATATTTCAAACTAAGTCACTTTTCTAACTGTACTTTCCTCACCCTAAAATCATTTTGTGTTTCCTGAGTGGCAAGTGAGTAATTCAGAAGTGGATCAGTAGAACCTAGCCCCACAAATATAAACATTTATCTCAAATTGAACCCATAAGAGAAACTGACAGTTGATGATGTATGTAAGAACATGTGGAAATCTTGGGAAGGAAACACTAAAATATGATCGATAACAGTTATATAGCTTTGAGTCTTTATTTACTACCTCATAATTAATTTCGTTTGGATAAGGATCCAAATTTCTGTTTCGAGTTACTTTTCTTCCAGCATTTGCTTATATTAGTACTTGGCAAAAAGGCAGTTTGTAGAAAATAAATGTGTTTTACTGAAATAGTAATGCTTATTTTGGCAAACCCTTTTCTCATGAAGAATGAAAAGCTAATAGGAATTGCATTTATCCATGGACACCAATCTAAGTGGACATATTTCTGATAGATAGTATTGAGATCTCAACACTGAAAATGCACAGTTAAATGGGACCATGTGAAGCATTTCAGGTTTGCCTTAATCTTACTGAGTTTCTGGATTTCCTCTGTGGCAAGAATTCCTGATATTCTATTAAAGAGTTACACCTATTTAACTTGGAACCATTAAGCAACAAATCAGATTATTTTTGAAGAATTCCACTACATTTGCCAGTGTAGGTAGAAGCTGCCAAGTTGTCTGGAAGACTGTTTTAAAATTTTGGAAACTATAATTAGGACCATGCTGATGGAAGCTCTGGAAAGTGGCTATTATCCCTTTATTTATTTGATTCACATGAGACAAATATTTTTCTTTCACATAAATGTTCTTCTACCTAAGAATATGGATTGCATTTCCCATAAATCCTGCCAATGAATCTTAAGAGATCACTTAAAGAATTTAAAGAGTTCTTAAGAAAATATTAACATCCAAATTATAAGTTGGCATTTTAAATCAAAGGGGAAATATAAATGGAATTACCTGACCAGACTACATTTTAGACAAAGAACCACTCCGGAAGAAGAGGGAGAAATGAAGGCAGGAGAAGCAGGTTTCCAATCAACCAGAGATCAAAGAGTGAAGTACAGAAGTCAGCTAAGAAAGACATTGTTGGGGTTTTTTTTAAACAAAAAGAAAGACAAATTAGCTTTTTAATTGCTGTACGACATGTAGACTAGACACAAAGATTAGACAAACCAGCCAAAATAGACATACTCAGAACTGAATTCCAGTTACAAAGTTATACCGAAGTCCTGTAAATTCTACCCACAAATAGCAACAGATGTTCCAGCAGGAATCTGGTATAGAGTGATGTTTAATTCCAAATAAGTTAATTTTCAGGGACCCCAAATAATATTGGGGTGACAAACTATTTTGAGCATTTTTAATTCTTAGCATATATTAAAATCATTACATAACTTCTGGAAGAGGGGTGAGTTCTAGAACTCAACTTTTTAATCCTATGAATTACTCTTTTTCTTCTTGGGGTTTCACTGGGTGAGAACCATTTTGTTGAAAGAACTTCCCTACGATTTTTAGAATTTTATTTAAAATATTTTTTGATTGCTAGATTACAACTGTACTGATTTCATCTTAGTGGCCACATGGCATACATCTGTAAACACAAACCTAAACTTTCTCCTCCACCCATCCCTACCAAGACATATAAGCACAGGGCTGACAATAAATTGTCTCTGGTCCAAAATCAGACATTTTTTTGGGGGGTGGTGGTGGTGGTGAGGGAGTCCTATTTTCTGTTGTCTTTAGGTAAACCTCTGACATCCTGGGCTCAGGGTCAGTCTGGCCAGAGTCTCAAGGATGTCAAACTCAGATGACTGCGGTGGAGGGCCAAATTGGAAACACAAATGCCTGAAGAGGCTTGGTGTTAGAAAATAAGGAGAAGAGGGAAACAGCAATTCAAGGGTGCCTGCCTCCATTTCTCAAAAACGTGTTCAAGTTATAATTTAAAAAAGAAAAATAAAGCACAACCGTGTGGGCCAAGCTACCCAGATCTTAGCTGCAGGCCACCAGTGTGAGACCCTGTGGACAAGACCTAGGATCCTTGTTTGACCTGACTTTCCAAGCTGCTTTCCCGGTACTCAACTTCTTTCCTTCCAACCTTTATGCACCTGCAGGATCCTTCCAGCTCTTTCTGCATCGCTGAAACTTCTGCTGAAACTTCTCTTTTCTGCTGAACCCACAGTATTTGTGAACTACCCTCCTGCCACTCTGTGCAGACTGCGATGTTGCTACCACACTTTGACATGGGGTTGGGGTAAAAATATAGGCTACTACTACCACTGGAATGTACACGAAGCTTCAAGTTGCTTAGTAAGTATACTCAAACTAGTGCTTTATCTACCACATCAATTTCATATTGTTGGTCCTCATTCCAGAAGCCAGACTAGTCTACAAAATTCAGTGGGAAGAGAGAGATCACTAAAATCTATACTAATTGCCACATTCTTCTTTATTTTTCCTCTCCAGCCTCTAGGAGGCGGTCTAGCAAATCTCTTACTAAATAGTATGTAAAGCAGGCAATGATTTTGTAATTTCTCTGTAATACCTATATCGCCTGCCGTTTTAAAGAAGCTGTCAATAACCCCAGAACATGTTTTATTTATTTATTTATTTATTTATTTTTGTGTAGAAATCTTGAAACAGTTATACCTAGTATAAAAAAAACTGAATTTCATCTTTTTAACCTTCCCATTGAGGTGACATACAGATGATGGTAAGCTGATCAGTGAAGTACTGACAAAAGAGGAGGGGGCCAGTCCTGGACCAAATTTATGAGTATAACCTGGTATAGAAATGAAATAGATTGCAAATATTATAAACGTGAGAAAATTACCATCTCTATCACTGTGCCATACTCATCAAAGAATAAAATATATCTTTTTCTCCTTATCCTTGCTGTCTTGAGAGTTCTTTAGTGGGTCCCTGAACTCCCTGAACTTTATATGCATGATTTTGGGGGAAGGGTGCTTAGATTTGATTAGGTTCTCCCAGGGGTCCATAATTCAAGAAGGTTAATAATCACTAGTCTGGAACCACAGAACTTATATAAATTATCATGTTTTTTTTGTTGTTATTTGTTTTTTAAAATAATTTCTACTCTTTATGTCACCATCACTGCTGGGGAAACCTGAGGCACTAAACAGCACATACCTTTTAGGTATGGTCGCTTGCCTCGACTGTCTGCTATTATAGGCCCCTATCTTGTAGCTACTGAGAGAGGGGAAAAAGGGTTTTTTTTCAATATATAAAGATTTTCCAATTGTAAATTGGGTTTAAATTAGTTTATAGCTCCTGTGAGTCCTTATGCAAAACATCTCAGGCTGAATATTAACTAAATGGCTCAAGGAGTTGCACCCAAGAAGGATACGCAAACATTTCCATTTCTTCTTTTTTCTTTTTATTTAGTTTATTTTTTTAGAGACAGTGTCTCACTGTGTTGTCCAGGCTGGCATCAAACTCCTCAAGGCTCAAGTGGTCCTACCCACCTCAGCCTCCCAAGTTTCTGGGTCTTTTTTCTTTTTAAATTGGAAAGTGACAAAATTTGGTGACTCTGGAAATTACATATGGAGCCAATGGATGCAATTAAATGCCATTGTGGCTCAATGGCACAGAGGCCTGGGATTTGGAAAGTTCTTCTTCTTCCTCTAGGATGTAGGGTTATGACAGTTGACTCTTGGCTACCTGGGCACCAAAAAGATCCATAGAAGCTAACTTAATGGAGAAAGCTCAGCAGTATACAGTGGGGAGCATAATAAAGTGTTTTATTATAGTGATAAATGCAAGGTAGTTATCATAATTCAATGAAAAGGTTAAAAGAATTTTTTTTAGTAATATGGCTACACTTAATAAATAAGAAAATTTTAGATTTTCAAAAACAACATTCATAACCAGTTTTTCTAGTTTCCAGTTTTATGACTTTCTCTGGAGGTGCTGCAACAAAATTATAGCAATTATTCAACAATTACCCAAAAACTGTATTTTTGTGCCAAGTTATAGAAATTAGGCAAATTAGAACACAGGGGTTCAAAATAGCCAACATACACATTCTTTTGAGAATAAGTCTAGGGATGCTCTTGACAAAGAAGTAGCCAAAGTAATTTGACCTTTCATTTTGCAATTCCTATGCATAATTTGTAGACTAGAAGTTAAAGAAGTAGAACAGTAAAGAGTCTAAATTTGAACTGCTCAACATCCTGGCTAACTCCTCCTCTCAGTTAGGGTGGAAAGGTGATTATTTGGTTCCATTTTACCATCTGGGTAATTGTGGTATGATGCTCAGGACTGTTCTAAATGTGAACACTTCTTTGTCTGTCATTCAGTGACAACAGAGAACAGGAGCACTGTCTCTCCTACGTAAATAGACCAACTCTTTTCCTCTGCGGCTGGAAGCTGAGAGATCAAAGAAATCCACAAAAACCTGAAGCTACTTACAGAAGGTTTGGGAGCAGGTGACTTGTTTCCATCCGGGGTTTTGGTTAGCCATTCATTGATGCGGCTGGAAACCCCCACTTTCAGGCCGGCAGTTTCCTATAAAGAGTCAATCATCCAAAATATTCAAGAAAAAAGTCAACTTTACCTGGGAGGGAATCTTCAGAGCAACCTCAAAATACTATTAAGTATTATTTCACATGGCCATAAACTTTACACTTGATATTTAAAGAGTATGTCGTCTGGTTTTCTTCCCCCTGCACCTCACCCCATCCCCACCCCAAGGTTAACAACTAACCTTGGGCACTTCAGAGTACAGTGGCCAGTGGCCAGAGCTGGGTACATAGTGCAGCCTCATGAACACATTCTCCCTGAGCTTGCTTTTGTGGTCATTGCAAAACAAAGTACGGATTGCACCTTCTTCACTGCTTTTATTATAAACTTAGTGTGATTCCTAACAGAACATTGAAAAAAAAAATCCACTCCTCTACACTTAAAAGACAAAAATCGCACGCTCACCTTGTTTGGTGTGCCTGATGCGGCGGGGGACGAAAACACGTTGCCTTTCTCCCACATGCTCTTGATGTTACGCACACCTTCGGCAGGGACAGGAAGATCCGACGCTGCTGGCTTTGGAGGTTTTGCAGTTTTTGTTCCCTGAAATGTGCGAATTATTTTTAGGATTGGTGCTGAGAAGTTTGTTATAGTAAGAATTACAGTAAGCTTGTCTTCCTCAACATTATCATTTAAAAAGTTCACTCACCAAAAATGGGAGTCATAATTTCTGTTATGAAACTGCATTCTGATGACACGTAGCCCTCAAAGTAAACCATAAGAGCTAGACCAGAGGACTTTTCAACAATGAAACATGCTTTTTGTTGGGAAACCAACAAAAATATCACCTTAAATTTATTATTAAGGTGTTATTCTACCTTGTTTCTTCAATAGATACTTCTTGAGAATTAAACTCAGGTTGGCTATTATCTTTTATATTACTTTACACTATGACTTTTATTTGATAATAAAAGGTTTTGTAAACAAAAGAGGATTAAGCAAGATTATAAAGGGCTTATTTAAACCACATATGGGAACACATTTTAAAAAGAATTAGGATATTAAAGATATACTTGTGAACATATAAATAATATTGTTAAATACCAATGAATCCATTTATTAAAAGAATAATTGCTTCATTAAAGCATATTCAGGCTAAAGGTAGTAAACAATAATTTGTTTAAAACTCTTCTATAATTTATTACTGTACTTCTCTTTCACTAGTTCAAAGTGTAATAAAGCATTACCAATATTCTAACACTACTGTAGCTACTAGACTTGATTCTTGTCCCATAAAAATCTTGTTTTTATGATTTTCTGTGTAGTCAGAGTCTATTTCTGTTTGATGGGAAGACAACGATGACAATTCTCACCTCAATGGCGCTGGTGTACTGCTCCAGTCTGCTGTCAATCTTGGAGACTACTGCTGCTTGGTGAGTTGATTTCACACCACTGCTGAACAGACACATACATGCGAACGTAAACATATGGGAGAGTCTTCCCATACATACATTAGCTGATTATTCTCAATTGAACAATCAACCATATTTACCTTTTCTGTGCAGATTTATTCAAAAATTCTGCTCGCTCTTCTATCTAGGAATTGAAAAAGAAAATAAATTCAGTTAATATTTTCAGCTTATAAACAGTGTCTCTCAGCTCATGTCACTGTCATCCCCAAATCTGGTGAACGAAAACACCAAAGAGTGTGTAAGGTACTGTGCATAGCAGCTCTGCTGGAGAGGAACCTTATGGTCTTTGACAGGGAGATTTGAGGGATGAAGGTAGGATTGGCAAGAGGATAGAGAAAAATGCATAGAAAAATATAAAGTTTTGGAGGCAAATTAAAGACCACATTGATGTGGAATAAAAATGTCTCTGAAATAATATAAACCAGGGGCAAAGTAATTAAAATTTAAGACTAACACAATAATTTTTTCAAAAATATATCCAGTTACCCTCTAGGACATATTATGACTATAGACATACCATGCTACTTGATTAACAAAATTTTCCCACAACATTTTAACTGTATATTTGGTATGCAACAGGACGGAGTAAGAATGATAACCAGGAAATGTGAACTAGTCCCTTATTTCTTACTCTGATTTACTAACTTGATAGCGGCGAGTCAAGCCTATTGTTGAAGTTAATTTGCCCTGAAATGGAAAAGATGGGGGTGGGGGCTGGAATAAGGATGGGGCACAGCTCACCAGCAATGGCTGAAGCTTCCTGTGAAGCCCCTTTTAGCTCAAATGGGAAATAAAGAAATAAGCCCAGAGAAACTGTGATGGATATATGCTAAATAGGCAGTTCAGTGGTTTTTGACTAATTCTTTTTTTTTTTTAAGCTAGGAACTTCTTTCTGCTATAACTAAGGCTACTAAATCAAACATTATATTTTACTAGAACTGTATCACATAAATTTAGACGTAACAATAAATCAGCAAATATTAGTTGACTCCAAGTAATAGCCAACTCCAGGCTAGAAATATCCTCTGCCGCCATCACCTACCAACATCAGCAAGTAGTAAAACCTTCTTTGCACATGACTGCATATGCCAAAACACACACAGGCTGAGAAGTTCCATTTTCTTCCCTGTTCAGGGTAGCCAAGGAATCTACTAGATTACAGTTAACCTAGGCTAGTATGGTTGAGTGTCCCCTGGTCTCAGTGAGTTCAGGCTAATGTAAGAAATTACCATAGAACGAGGAGCTTAAATAACAGACAGCTATTTCTCACCTTTCTGGAGGCTGGAAAGTCTGAGGTGAGGTTGCCAGCATGTCTGGGTTTGGTGAAGGCCCTCTTCCTGGTTTGCAGATGGCCACCTTCTAGAGGTGTCCTCACATAGTGGAGAGCACAGAGGGAGCAAGTAAGCTCCTGTGTCTCTTCATAGAAGGGCACTAATCCCATTCATGAGGGTTCCACCCTCATGATCTATTTACCTCCCAAAAGCCTCACCTCCTAATACCATCGTATGGAGGGTTAGGTTTTCAACATACGAATTTTGAGGGGACAGAAATATTCAGTCTATAACACTTCTACGGTCTTCCAAGATGTTAAAGGCTCTTTCTGACTTGGTCTGGCTTAGGATTCATGAACAATTTGTAAATACCACAATGTTTCTGGAGAACATGCTTTGCTCCTCATATCAATGGAATAACACTTTTATAGATGTTAATAAGGGCACTTCATTCTTTCCAAATGATTTCTTACAGAGAGAAAAGAAAACGCTTACTGAAAATAAAAATCTATGTAAAAAAGTATTACAGGTAGCCCTGCGTTTATGGGATATAAAAGGCCCATGATATAAATCTTATGTTTCTGATTTTAATTATAAACTGAGAAGTATATTTTTATAGAAAAAGGTGAATAAGGTGAAACATTTTAGAACCATGTGATGCAGTAGCATGTTTAATACTGCCCATCCATCCACCTGTCCATCCTACTATTAACCCTGCCACCTGTCAGCCAGAAAAACCAACCAATAAATTATATATTGAGTACCTTCTAAAAAAGTTAATACCCAGCGATGAATAAAACAGTGCCATGGATTGAATTATGTCCCTTCTAAAATTCATATGTTGAAGCTTTAACCTCCAATGTGGCTGTATTTGGAGATGGGCCCTCTAAGGAAGTAATTAAAGTTAAATGAGATCACAAGATCATGATCCAATAGGATTAGTACTCTTATAAGAAGAGACACCAGAAAGCTCGCTAGCTCTATTTCCGCCACACGAGGACACAGTGAGAAGGCCATGCAGGCCATCTGCATGCCACGAGGAGGGCTCTCATCAGAAAATAAATCTGCTGTCACCTTGGTCTTGGACTTCCCGGCCTCCAGAACTGTGAGCAATAAATTTATGTTGTTTACAAATCACCCAGTCCAAGGTATTTTGTTATAGCAGCCCGAACAGACTAACGCAGAAGGATAGCAAAGAGATACATGGAGGAAAGGCCCTGAATAATCAATAACTAAATAAGGGGCTAAAATCAAATTTCTAGTATAATAGAGGTAATTATAAGAAGGTTTTCTGAGAAAAAGATACCTTGAGAGATGAACCTTTAGGAGTGAAACACTTGAATGGCTTCTTGTCATCTGACAAGCCATCCTCTGGCATTTTCTGGCGTTTCTCAGCAGCTTCTGCCCTTCGCCTTTCAATCTCTTCCTTTAGTCTCCTCTTCTCTTCCTAAGAGAGGACGAACAAATAACAGGGACATGAGTATCAGCTTCAAGGCTGCAGAGAAGAGTGCTAGAGCATGGTCGGAGAGGCAGCAGACTCAGGCCCTAGACTGGACACTGCTCCTTCTAGGTCTAACCAGAGGCTAAGCCATTTGCAATCTGGCGCTGCCACTTCCCAACTGGACAACCTTGGCCATGTTATTGAGCTGCTCTGTGACTCAGTTGCCTCAACTGTAAAACAGGGATAACAATAGTAGCCACTGCATAGGGCTTTCATGAGGACTAAAGGAGAAAGCACATGTAAAATGCTTAGACAAAAGCTCAGTGTGATGATCTCCGTAAGGGTGATCAGTATCACCACTATCCTGTAAGTTATTCAATACTGACCTTCATTTCTGTATATGAAAAATGAATACGTCAGCCTTCTACCTACTTCCTAGGAGAGTGGTGGAGACAAATGAGATGGCGTACGTGAAACTTTATATAAATCTATGGCCCTACATTTGCCGAATGTACAAGGGATGATTTTATGGTTGCCCACCCCGACCTTAACTGAATAGATTATTTTAGATGGTTTGACCAACCTGCAATGATGTAGATACTGCACCATAGTGGTGACATCACAGATGTGTACAACGTGCTCATTAACCCCTCGGTGCCTTCATTCCCAGCCTAAAATACCCTGCCCTGTCTTCTCCATCAGACAAAAAATTTGGAGCTCTGATCAAGTGACACATCCTCTATGAATGGTTTTCTGAGAGATTTATGCAGGCTTTTGTATTTTTTTAAACTGTTGAGATCATTATCCCTGGATATTCTCAAGCAGAGACTAGATGTTCATCTGTCATAGGACGTGGCAGAAGGATGCTGTGCTTGGCAGGAGGTAGAACAAATAATCTCCTAGGTCCGATACAGTAGCTTTAAGGGTTCATGATTCTCCTTCTGCCTTCCCTGGTACTCTCCTCCCCTAAATAATAATAATAGCAATGACAACAATAATGATAACTACCACTTTTTGAGCGCCCATTATGTGCCGGGCACTGTGAATACAATGATCTATTTCATCATCAGAATAATCCCGCGAAGTAGATACCATTTCACGGATGAGGAAAAGAAGGCACAGAGTAGTCCAGCAACTCTCCCTAGACTCAGGGTGTAAGAGTTAGAGTTAGGATACAAACCCAGGAATATCTGATTCTAAAACTCCATCATCCCAATCACTTTCCAACCAAAGGTCATTGTCTCATTGAAAGTTGGAGTTGGAGATACCATAAAATAATATATCCAAACTTTCCACATAGTTCAGGGAAATTTTATACAAGATCCATGTCAGAAAGTCATCAGAAGTCTTTCTGGGCATATTTTCAATGATGTGAGATGACTGCTCAGAAGCTCTCAGCTCAGAGTTGTAAAAGCTGGGTCCCAGTACTGATTCTACCACAGACTAGTCAAGAATCTCCAACCAAGTCACTCAAACTATTTTTTTTTTTTTTTTGAGACAGAGTCTCACTCTTTTGCCCGGGCTAGAGTGAGTGCCGTGGCATCAGCCTAGCTCACAGCAACCTCGCACTCCTGGGCTCAAGCGATCCTCCTGCCTCAGCCTCCCGAGTAGCTGGGACTACAGGCATGCGCCACCATGCCCGGCTAATTTTTTCTATATAGTTTTAGTTGTCCAATTGATTTCTTTCTAATTTTAGTAGAGACGGGGTCTCGCTCTTGCTCAGGCTGGTTTCGAACTCGAGCTCAAACAATCCGCCGCCTCGGCCTCCCAGAGAGCTAGGATTACAGGCGTGAGCCACTGCGCCCGGCCTATTCAAACTATTTGATCCCTGGTTTCTCTTCTCATAAAATGAGACTCATAATGTGCCTCAGGAAGAAAGGAAAGAATGGACTTTGTAAACTGTAGTAATATAAGTTGTAGTTGGTTAAATGTTTTTTCATATGCCGAGCCAAAATTTCCCTCCTTGCAACTTAAACCTGTAGTTTTTAGTTCTGTCTTAAAAGATGGGACACATTCATCTGTTCCTAATGATAGGGCTCCTGCTGCACCACCAGGCACTGTGTGGGGTCCTGGGTATGTGGTAGAAAGCAGACACTTCCCTGCCTGTTTACATTCTCATCGACTTATGTGTCCATTAAAAAAAAACAAACCTAAAAATGATTTAAATAAATCTTCTCCATAAAAACTCTTCAAATATTAGAAAAATATCATGTAACTTAGTTCTTGTAACTAATGTACAGAACTTCTATCCTTTTCAGCTTTCTAACTTCTCCTTTTTGAGAGGCAGTGGAGGGTCATGGGTTAAGACCAATGTTCCCAAGGAAAATTACAAAAAAAAAACCTCTATGTGCCTCCATTTGCTCATCTGTAAAATGGGGATAAGGCCCTACATCAGAGAGTTCTTATGAGCACTGGATAAATTAGTGTCTATAGGTTTTAGAACAGTGCCTAGCACACAGTAAGTTTATCATTCTTAACGTATATTTTTAAGAGCCCGTGGCACTGGGGCGGGGGATGAGTCTCTGAGCTAGAAGGGTCACCAGGACACGTTTTCGGAGGCTGGAGAGCGGGCACCCCCCTTACCTCCTCTCGGGCTTTCCGATCGGCTTCCTCCTGCTTCCTCCTCTGCTCTTCCTCCTCCAGGACCTTCCTTCGCTCCTCCCGCTTTTTCTTCAGCTCCTCCAGCTCCAAGGCTGCCTCCTGCTGCTTCTGTTTGAGCTTCTCGAACTCCTCGCTCTCGGTCTCCCCGCGGCGGCGGCGAAGCTCCTCCAGCCGCTTGCCGGCCTCCACCTGGGGCGCGCCCTCCGCCTCCTTGGCGTCCCCGCCGGCCCTGCCTCCGGGGCGGCTGCGGTGGGGGGGGGGGCAATGGGAAGGAGTTGACAGCTTCTGCCCTGCAGCCTCCCCTGGGGGGAGGGGAGGGCCGTCTGCAGGCCCAGACCAAACCTCCACCGCCCTGGACACTGGTCCTCACACCAGCCCGAGAGGCAGGTTGGATCTGCCTGGAACCGCAAGTTCTGAATGGGAGCCCCTGCTCTGCCACTTGCCCTTGGTTTCCTGGGCTGTAAAATGGGGCAAATACGCACTGCGGGGCTGTGGGGGTGTGGGGGGACCTGTAAAATGATGCAGCTGCTACGGAAAACACTATGGAGATTCCCCCCAAAATTAAAAATAGAACTACCACGTGACCCAGCAATCCCACTTCCGGTGTACATCCAAAAGAATTGAAGACAGGGTCTGGAAGAGATCTCTCTGTACCCACGTTCCTAGCAGCACTAGTCGCAATAGCCAAGAGATGGAAGCAACCCAATGCCCATGATGGGATGAATAGGCAAAATGTGGTATATCCACGCAACGCAATGTTATTCTGCCTCAAAAAGGAAGGAAAATCCTGTTACATGCTACAACGTGGATGAAGCTTGCAGATACTGTGCTACGTGAAATAAGCCAGACACAAAAAAGCAAATACTCTACGATTCCACTTCCATGAGGGATCTAAAGCAGTCAAATACATAGAGACAGAAAGTAGAATGGTAGTTCGGGAGGGGGGGCAAGGAGGCGGAGAAGAAAATAAGTTGTTGCTCAATGGATGTAGAATTTCAGTTCTGCAGGATGAAAAGCGTTTTGGAGATCTGTTGCACAGCCGTGTGAATTTATCAAATACTTCACACTGCTGAACTGTACATTTAAAAATGGTTAAGATGGTAAATTTTATGTTATGTGTTTTTTATCACGATTTTAAAAAGAACCATGATACATGCCGTAACATGGAAAAAATGGGCAAATACTATTTACTCTATTTACCCAAGGGGGTCATATAGGATTATATATTATATCAATGTTAAGTTATGTATCATCTATAGTATAAATATTAGTTGTTATTAGAAAGGAAGGTATGTAGTCCAAAACATTATTGTTAGAATGAGTTCTAAAATCTAAGAGTGGTCCTATTGGTCCTCTCCCATAAGTTACTGGTGAGCTTGGATCTGCCTGCAGTCATGGAACAGGAGGGAAGCCAGAAAGGCTCAGGCACTGGGAATGGGAAACGGTGGCCGAACTAGAGGTAGGCACTGAAATAAATCCATGTCTATCCACAATGTTGCCTTCAGCTTGACTCTAGCAGCCGATCTCTGGGGTAGATGAAATTACCCGTTGCCTCTTGATTAAGAGCTAAATACAGTAATGTATGTCTATTTTTACAGAGCTGCTTCAGGAAAGTTCTGAATGGCTATGCACTAACCTATAGCTTCGATTTGTGTATTTTTAACCCACCACAACTGGAATACTGCTTATAAGGACTTAAAATTACTAAGTTAGCTTGAAATGATGTGATTAGGGTTGTTACTTAGATGTCATTCTTTATGCTTTCTTAACCCTTTTCATATTCATTATTTTCATTTAACAGTCACAATAACTTGGAAGTTGACATCTATTATCCCATCTTATGATAAGGGAACCATAGGCGAGAAAAAATTATTACCCAGACTTTTGATAGCTAGAAAGTGGTTGACCCATGACCAGATTCTAATGCTTCTCTACCAAGTGTACTCTTCTTGTCATTACAAAGGAAAAATTTCGTAACATTTTGTAATGAATATTTTGTAAATAAAGGTACATTTAGCTACAATTTCCAATTTTCCCTACATAGGGTGACTTTTGGGATACCCTGTACTATGATTATACCTGAAATTAAATATGATTTGTTATAAAATAATGAATCAATTGAAATACAATATGTCAGCCTACCTCCCTATGGCTCACCTCAAACCTTGATGACAGAGAGTCTGTGAAAAAATATTTCCTACCTCTAGTTTTCTAGAATTTCTACAGTCTAGGTCTAGCTACCTTCCTGCTGGAGTGGAAGCAAAGCTTCATCAGATAGCAGAGCTTATAAAACAGGAAGAAATGGGTAAGTTTTACATAAGTAGGAACTAAAATTGAAATGATGTTGAATTAACTTTTGTGATTAAGGAGGGCCCACAGGGATTTTATTGCAGAATCTGGAAAATGTTCTGACTCAAGACAGAATGCTATCCTGAGTCCTTATGTTAAAAATTTATACCAGAACTGGTATTCTTATTATTTTACACAAATCATATAAAAAGATGGCAAGATTTCATTAGCACCTACTGACCCCTTAAGATCCTTTAATAAATTTGCCATCTAATAGAGTTAGAACATTGATAATTTCAAAACATGTTGTTACTCAAAATAGAACTTCAGTAGAACACTACGTTTTTCACTAAAGCAGAATTCATGTGAGTTGGATTCTCCTGGGACTTTAGAAGAATTTAATGGTGTGCTCAAAGGGCCTTGTTATAAGTAGTCTTTAAGAGTATATAGTTTGTTGTTATTTATTAATAAATACTATCAAGTAAGTATTTATGTGATAGTATTTATGAGGTCATTCTTTACTAGATCTGAACATAGGTAGCCCATTCCTGGCACTATTGTGTATGGAACAAATGAATTATCACTCTCTAATATCATTTGTTCCATCTAAAGAATGGCACAGTATTTCTAGCTATGGAGCAAGAGGAATAAAAAGAATGGGTTCAAGATATACATCATACAATATTGACTTTATAGTGTACATATCATGCTTTTTAAACGCTGAAGAATTTCTGAATATACTGTTTCTTCCAGGACAATGTTTTTCATGCTATAGGTGAGAAAATCAATTTAGTGGATTGTAATCAGCATTTAAAAAAATGAAATAGAAACATCAGAGTGCATTGTACAGAGCAAAAAGAAGTACCATTTCTTGACCCACTGGTTTTAGTTATTAATATATATGTAGATATGTACAGGGTCATGATGTAAAATTTATTTTTTACTAAGGACTGAGGTTAAAAAGTTTTCAAATACTGTTCCAGGCTCTTGACAGTTAAAGATGAATTCTTTTATTTTGAACTCAACGTTGAGAGTTCCTTTAAACTTCATGTTTCTTTTTCAGGGTATTAAAAGTTCACAGGCCTGTGACTCCTCTCTCAGTTAATTTAAGGTCTTTCTGTTCAAAAACAAATTTGCTCTTTGTGTTCATCCTAATGTACAGGAGCTGGAATGGCAAAACACATGCCCACGGAACACATCTCTAGATTCCACTAGGTGTCGCTTGGTCTTCATTTTGGACAATCAAAATGCCTGTCCTTAGGGATTGGTTAAATAAGTCATAATATTCAGTTATAATATTCAGCGGAATAATCTAACACAATTAATTGTAGGCTTATATTTATTGGTATAGAAATCTATCTGTGATATATTGTTATGCATGGTACAAGAATCAATTAAAAATATATATTTATAATTATAGCCACATATATATATATAATATATATGTGTGTGTCTATCTTGAATATTATATATATACATATCTGGAAAAAATGTTACCTGTAATTATCTTTGGGTGGTGGGTGCTTATTTTTATCCTATTTTCTGAGTGTTTTAGAATGAGCACATTTTTTTCTATAATCAGAAAAAAACTTTTTAATTCCCACCTTAAAAAAAAAACCCCTCATTTTGTACTTTCCATAACACCCTTGATATAATCTGCTATCTCCACAACTTTCTCATCAAATTGAGCTTTTTATGTCATGTTTTAGAGAAAACAATCTAGTTACAAGAAAACAGGAATATCAGAGGGGACAGTAATTAAATCAAACATCAAAAGCTATGCTCAAAACAGGAGCAAGAGTTTTATCCACATCGCCTCTGCCTATATTTGCAGGCATGCCCTCAGCATTAGGGGCCACTTCCTATGGAAATTTCTTCCATAACGTTCTCTCCCCTATCCTTGGCTTCTTTAGGTTTAAGTCAAGATGAACATCAGGCCTTTGACCATTAAGAACAAAGCTTGTTTACAGTTAAGCTAGTAGGTGCTATATCTAAATAGAGGCTCATACTTTCTTCCTTTCTCATTTTATAAGTACATGGAGGAAAACCATGCTTCTCTGTTTCTATCAGCATTAACTTCTAATTGAAACTAACATTCACATATGTTGGTGGCTAAACAAAAATGAATACTATGGAGGCAGCTTGTTCTTGGTTTTGTTTTTCTGCCCAAAAATGGAAGAATTAAGGCTAGAGTCACATGCGTGGGTTTTCATTGCTCAAGTTGTTGCCATCTCTTGGGACTCTTCTTCTCTTTCAATTCCCAGCTCTTTGGGTTTCTACACAATAGGCATGTTACTTATTAATTTGAGCTTTGACTGAGGTTTGTTGGCAGGTTCGCTAATTGTTAACCAAACTTTTTACTACTGACAGATTTTTTAAACATTATTTCTCTTAACAGAAATAAAGCTTATACCTAGAAAACATAGTTTAAGCTATCAATAAAAAATAGTAATCTTAGGTAATATTCATTGAACATTTTTCATGAACCTGACACTATTCCAGGGCTTTAAAATATTAAACTACAGGCACTTCAGCAAGCTTTGGACTCAGCTTATCAACCTAAATCAACTTACTTTGTAGATTTTCTATGAATTTCCAATAAACTCTTAATTTTCACACCTACTCTCTTACCAATCCCAAGTAATATCTATAGATTCTACCTTTCTTACTCCTTCACAGTTGCATTTAGACCTTTTAGGCACACTTTTTCTTCTGTGTACTTTAGGCTTTCCTTTGGATAAATATGACTAGGTTTCTGTTCAAAGTTTTGTATAGAAAAGTTGTTTTGGGGCAACTATATTTATCCATCTTAGCCTTTTAGATGAGCCTGGAATGTCCATTCCTACTAGCTCCACTTGCTTCTACATGTTACAAAGGCTTTGGTGTAAGGACCATGCCAAACTTCTACATCATACCTGCCTGGGGACTTTCTTATTTGCAGTGTTCAGAAAAACAGGATCTACAGGCAAGGCTTCTGTCCAAAGAACAACCCCATGGAAATCCACATTGCAGAAACCCAGGACTCTCTTCCAGCACATCTGACACAGGAGCCAGTGACATGACAGAAGTTGAGATTTGGCACCAGTGGTTGGAAGGAGTGTTTGCGGGGATGGGGCACAGAGAATCATATAGTTCCATGGAAGGCTTCTGCGCCTTAAATTCTTCTACAGAACTGGTGCAGAGCTCTCAGTATCCATTTGTATCTAGAAATGAGAATTTGCCTGTATAACCTGGTCTAGTCTATCCTACAGCCAATTGCCAGGATTTTCCATAGGTGTGGAGGGGGAAGCTGATGATATACAAGAGGGTTTTTTCCAAACTGTATGGAAGGGAGCTGTAGTTCCATGCCCTCTCCTCCCCTCTTAGAGATTCCCAGTAAAAATTAACATTAAGGGCTCTCAAAGTCTAGTGGTAAAGAGATCTGATCAACTTAGTTTAACGCAATGTCTCCCAAGTATTTGGCACAGAACAATCTTAGCTTTATGCAACATTTATTTACAACCTTCAGAAGATGCATTCTTGAAAATGCTACTGAGAAGGGTCTCCTATGAAGGTGATCAGACCATATATAAAGAATGAATCAATGATACTAACCCCAGTCATAATGTTTTCTAATAAACTGATCTCACATGAGCATATTAGGTCAGTGAATAAAAACATGGACACCAAGAATGATCTATCTGCCTCTTGGGATAATGGGAAAAGCAGATTAAGCCCTGTCTAAGCTGTGACTGCTGGTCTTCTGTTAGTGATATGAGTGCCGGACCTGCTGACTGAGTATCTCTAAGACAATGGCTAATGATCTCACAACAAAAGCATGTTGCCTGTTTAGCACATTTCTGTCTGGAGGCACAGGATAGGGAGACTGATTTTTTTTTCCCCCCACATGTGAACACAGTCACTGTTAACTAGTCACTACTTCTTACCTGAAAGTGTTCTCAGCATGTTTAAGTTTGTGGGTCATGAATTCCCCATTCTGTGACTTCACTTCTGTAAATCCTTTCTTTCGATCCATGAAGCTCTTAATTTCTTCTTTGGGTTCTTTGTCCTTTTTAATCTTCTCATCTTTGATCTAACCAACAGTACATATCAGGAAGAAACATAACGATAAAACTCTTATTAGATTTTGGCTGGTATCACCAAGTAAGACCCAAAATTGTTAGGAAGGCAGAAAACAAACCACCCAGTGTGATAGATCGGGTGTCAGAGAAAATTCTTACAGCATGAGCTATGGTCCTTTAGCTTGTGAATAAAGACCTTGACCACAATTTTAGGAAGGCAAGATCATCCCTGATCTCACTGGGGTTTTTATTTTTTTAGAGCAGTAGGAATGTTACGGTTTGGAAACTATTGAGTTCTGGGAACTTCACATAAGCTGTTTGCAGTTCCCACTGGGAAGAGTAATTACTACTAGAGTGGCTTTGAAGTTAGAGTGGCCAGGTTGCTTGGACTGTCTCTTGGATGGAGAGAGAATCTTTGAGAAGGACACAAATGAGGAGGACAGAAGAGGAAACCTACTAGGTTAGCTAAATCCGCCCAGCCAATTCTGGTGAAGACCACCCTTGTATTTTAATCGAATGAGAAATTAGTGCCCAAGGGTGGACACATAATAATCCGACCTTTAAGGGGAGGATGCAAGATATGTGGGATCTGTGGGGCCATGTTTGCAGTCATCTAAACATTAAAGTTAGAATGGAATAGGAAATATTCCAGAGTTTATCTTGACTTCCATTGCCAGTGAAACTTTAGTTCTCTGGAAGTGGTTTTGTGATTGTTATGGGAGACAGAGGAAGATGACACGTGAGGGCAGGTGGTAGCCTTAATATTTTATGGGTTTTGTGTTACAAGTTTCTCACGGTTAATGAGACAGGTTTTTCCAAAGTAAACTGAATTTATATAGCTTTTTGAAGGAGAGGGTGGGAAAGGAGTTCAAATTACTTCACCTATATCATCTCGCCCATTCTTAAAAGATGAGTGTGAAAACAGGTGAGGTTCATTATTGTTGTTTTCTTTTTTTTTTGAGACAGAGTCTCACTCTTTTGCCTGGGCTAGAGTGCCGTGGTGTCAGCTTAGCTCACAGCAACCTCAAACTCCTGGGCTCAGGCGATCCTTCTGCCTCAGCCTCCCGAGTAGCTGGGACTACAGGCATGCGCTGCCATGCCCGGCTAATTTTTCCTATATATTTTTAGTTGTCCAATTGATTTCTTTCTATTTTTAGTAGAGACAGGGTCTTGCTCTTGCTCAGGCTCCTTTCGAACTCCTGAGCTCAAACAATCCTCCCGCCTTGGCCTCCCAGAGTGCTAGGATTACAGGTATGAGCCACCGCACCCGGGCATTATTGTTGTTTTAAAGACAAACAGTTACAAAGCACTATTGCTCTAAAGAAACCTGCAGAGGAAGGGGAGGCCATAAGAACTTAGGGCTTAGGTAGTGTGGCCTAGAATGTTCTCCCTTGGCCAGATCACTCACTTCTTTCCACCTATTCTTCAAATACTCTCTGAACTCCTAAAGCGCATGTTTAACAAAGCAGAGTCCATTGTTTTTGCTCTTTTCTGATGAGCCTTCAACAGTCCTTTGACTGTCTTCTTTGGGTGTTATTTGATCACGTTACTACGGATGAAGTATTCACTACTATGTTGCCCTAATTAAGATTTTAATCTTTCTTCAGGAGGTATATACCTAGGATGTCCCTCGGACATGCTGAAGAGGGGAATTGTGTTTTGCATTCCCTCCAAGACCTCTGTCTGCAAGTCAGGAAACCTGACTTTTGGTTCTAGTGCTGTCAACAAACCAGCTGTGTTACGTGAACAAGTCACCTAATTTCTCTGGGATGCTGGTCTCATGAGTGTAAAAGGACAGGATTGGACTAGAGGCTCCCTTCCTACTCTTTCATCCTGTCATTTCCCTCTTGGCTCCTGGTTGGTCGTGAGGGCCTACAGCAAAGAGAAGGAAGCTCATGGCCTGTACCGCAGCTTGACGGTGGTTCCTTGGTGGCCACTCAAGAATAAAGCAGTATTCATTGGACAGGCAGGAGGAGGCAGAGTATATTCTCGTTTTTGCCACCACTATTAGATTTAGCCCCAGAAACCATGGACTCAAGTTTATATTTTGGTTAAGAAGCATCTGGGGATACATATTTGGAGGTGAGGGGGGTCCCATTTCAAGGGTACCCATGAAACAAATTCTGAGTCAAATCTCATGATTTGTGGAACACTGTGTAGAGAAGTTCCCTTTAATTCATTTCTCTTATTTTGGAGCCAGAAATATTTCCATGCTTCCAAAATGTATTATCTGGTTTACTGGCCAAAAAAGTCTTTAAAATAGATTTGAAAAACAATACATGTCTAACAGAAGAAAAATCCCCCCCCCCCCCTTTTTTCAAGCTCTGTCTTTATTGGCAAATGTTATAGTGGATGGTAGGCTTATATTCCTGTTGGAAAACTTTCTTAGAAACATTCTCCATGTAATAATGATAATTTGAGTTTGACTGAAAACTATTTTCTCCTTCTGGGAAATAAATACAGTTAATTCCATAGAGCCTCTAAATTTTATTTTTGGATTCTGTGGCAGATTCGACCCAAATCCATGGGATTCTGTGCTCCTTGGTAAAGGCATTAGACCTTCCAGGTCAGAATGTTACCATGAAGAAAATCTGTGCAGAAGTAATAATAGGTAACCAAGTATATTGAAAGAGTTTATGTGCTTCATATACGGATAACATTAGCATACTCTTAAGAAAGGCTCTGACCAAATACAATCGCTTGGATTTTAGAACTCTGGATATGTGGAATATCCAATGGAATAACACATGAGTGTGTGTGGGGGGGTGGGACTTCAAGTGACATGTCCTTGTGCCAGAGAAATACTCAAAAAGTTAAGCGAGCAAGTCAAAAAGGATTGAGATGTGAGTCTGGACTGTATTGCATTATTTGATTCCAGAATAGTAATAAGAACTGGGTGCAAGCTACAGTTTTTCCAGACTAGGTTTAATAGGCTTTTGTTAGTTTCGGAAGCCCCAAATCCTTTTTTGGGTCCAATTTACAGCACACGGATGTTTTCTGGATTCCTTGCTACTGCAAGTCTGGTCCATGGACCACAGAGACCTCACTGAATCAGATGCTGCATTTAACAAGATTCCCAGGTGATTAGCAGGCATGCTAACATTTGGGAAGTGTTGGCCTGGAGACATGAACATCACTTTTAATATCATACGAGCAGCTCTGTTAGAAACTTCATTTTTCTGTTAGAGGTGGGGGGAAAAAATAGCTCCCGGGAACTAAAAAGAGGCTTTTTATAATTGGAGAGGAGCAAAAGAAAGCTAAATCAAGTTTCAAGGTTGGTGATCCTCTGCGACCCATCGCCACAAACAGAGTTAAACTGCAGTGGAGAAACACAGGTTGTATATTTTTGCTTGTTTGTTTGTTTGCAGACCTTGGAGTGATATCTGGAAATGTTTTCTTTAAGAAGGCTCATGTGATGTTTGTGTTTAGCTGTGGTTCACCTACTCTGCCCACGTTGCATAGGTCCTTGAAAGGAAAGGTTGTAGTTTGCTTTTTGGTTTTTACTTTTTTCTGAACAAAAAGGAATAAAAAACCAACAGGTTGTCTAAAATGGTTGAATCATGTAAACACGATTTAAAGCTATCTACATAAAGTAACAACACAACTAGCTGGAAAGGGGAAAACCTAGTTGTTCAACCAGTAGTTTATGTACACAATGTTAAAAGGGGAATACAGTGTTTTTTTGTTGTTGTTGTTTGTTTGTTTTTTTTTAAGCTTGGGTTGAGGAGCTTATCTGGCCTGTGTAAAAAAAAGGTCAAAAGTTTTGGGAGACTGGAATGTGCTGTGGGGCACACTGGGAAAGGCCTCGAATCGTTCCCAGGAGTGTCTGATGGTACCATGGACACTGTTGACCCGGGGCCTCCTCTGAGAAGAGGCCGAAGGATGATCCGGGTGAGCATGGGTGAGTATGGTGTCTAGCTCTCAGACACCACGCGCAGGCGTACAATGCTTTGGTCACTAAAAACAAATTCGATCTTAGTGAGGTGAATAAAATTTTAAATATAGACCCCAAGCAGTGTTTTCTAGAGCCTCCCTTCCCCCACATATTTAATCTCGGAGTCATCATTTCATGCCCACTTCCTTCTGTAGTCAAATATATTCACCCTGAAACACTAGCTTTCTAGAGGAACCCATGTGTGACATTTCTGTCTGAATTTAGCTCTGAGGTGACTTCCATTTTTTTTTGGTAGATGACTTTGTAAGGCGTTCTTCTGTCCCCAAATGAAAACAGTATTTCCCAACATGTTTAACTGTGTTCTTAGCTACCTCGTGAGAGCTAAATTCAGTTTCCCAGTTCTTAGCATTTACATTTCTCCTTCCTTTAGATGGCCAGTGCTCACATGCAATTCTCACTCCCAAACCACCACAAGTTCTATTAGAAACAGAGAGGAACATGAATATTAACATAAATATCATATATAACATGAACTAAAGGTTCTTATTTTTCACATGGATTTTATGAAAAATATTTAAGAAAATAACCCACCCCCTATTTAATCTGGTCATCTGTTTTCTAAATACGGATTTTTCTGTTTAAAATTTTGAGTTTTCTTAATAGATGCCATAATAGGCAGAGAAATGTAGCAAGAGTCCATTTGGGTTGGCACTCAATGGCTACACTTCACTGGTCCCGTAGGCAAAGTAATTCAATTCTCCCTATCTCCGATAATTCAGTTTTACCATGTTCGAGTACTGTGAACTTATTAGATATAATCTCAATTTTTAGGATTATTTGGAGCTAATATAAGCATGATGGTTAAAATGAGGTCAGGTATTCTGATGTGACATTCTGACTACATCAGAGCACCATGACATTCCGCCGGCAGCAGCCTTTGGTCCACTGCCTCGTTCATTTACCCACAGTCAAACACCCTGGCACCGTGTGTGCCTCAGAAATGCAATGCAGAACATTTGGCCAAACTTTTCTTTCGGAAACCAAATACCATCTTCCGTTCACCAAATTTCCTACTGAGATGTGCGGGGGTGTTTTTCCTTTGAAAAGTTAAAGTATTAATCAAGGCCAGTTGGAAATATTTCATAATTGAAGTGAAAGTAGGATGGCTCAAGGGAAAATATTAGCACTCAGAAGAGTAGAAAGCAGGATAGATTGATTCCAGAATGCTTTCCAAGCCTTTTTGACTGTGACCCACAGTAAGAGAGACAATTTATATGACAATGCAATACTTACTCCCTACAATGTTCTTTGATACTTTCTATTCCATTTCACTTTTTTAAAATGCCAATTGACACATTGAACTAATTTTGAGACACTCTAAGCTGATCTCACCGTTCAATGAATCACGAGTTGTGGCTTGAAAAACACTGGATTCGAGGTTATAATTTTAAGATTGTCAGATCTAAGATGCTATGAACACTGCTCTCTGTTACTTTATGATCAGAACACTTCTCAATAATATTTACCTCTTGTTTTTTGAAGGCGGGCTTGTCTTCTTGGGACTTGTCTCTTTTAGCTTGTACTTTAGCTCCCTTTTCTTCTTCCTTTTTATTTTCAAGAATGGTAAAGTCACTCGTGTAAAAGCAGCCCTTTCTAGCTTACAAGAGTGAGAGGTGCTCAGATCACTTTGCATGTGCCGCAGGATGGCTTCTCTTCCGCTGTCTGAGTGCTCACGTTTCCTGCTTGGTGCCTGTGGTTCTAAATAGCAATGTGGGCTATTTTCTTCCCACATTTTCTCATGTGCCTGCCATTGTGCACTCTGAAATCTAGCATGACGTGGCACTGCTTGTGTGTGTTTACAAACCTCACGTGTGGTTTGGTGCACTTTGTTCATGATCTTCTCAAATATAGCTGTGTTCATGAGCCCCTTGCACAGAAGCAGGAGTGAACAACAACTTCAGTGCAATGTGGACTTAGTGATAGAGTTTGTTCTGGAAAGGTGAATATGCAAGCATCTCTTTTTTCCTTTTTTTTTTTTTTTTGAGTGGTGGTGATGGTGGTAATGGTTAGGTATAGTGCTTTAAATGCAGTCTTGCAGACAGAAAAAAATCTTTTGTACCTTACAAACAACACCCCCCCCACTATTTCCACCCTTCCTTGGACTACATGAATTTGTGTCACCCAGATGGAAAAAGTAGCAAAATGTATGCTCTTAATTATCAGTCAGTTATAAATCGATACTATCCCAGATGAATGGCTTTCTGCAAGTCTACATTAAGCTCAGGTCTACATGATGGCAAATCAGGGTTTTGACATTTTTATTTATTTATTTT